AAAAAAACAAGCAAAAAAGCCATGGAAGGCAAAAAATTACAGTGAGAAAATATGCCAACCATACCTCATTTTTGCGCTTTCCGAACTGAAGAACGACAAGATCTTTGGCATCAGCGGATGCACATGTTGCTCGGTATCTAAACGATCCCCGGAATCTTCAAAAATCTTCTGTATTGCACCCATAGAACCCTGAATAAGAAGATGGTATATTTCATGGGTCATAGAAACAAAAATCAATAAGAGAAAAAGCTGGAGGGGAGGATAATCATGTACCTCTTGCATATTTGGATCTGGCTGTTCTAAAAGATGTCCCAAGTAAGGTAGCAAAGTCGGCCAATGCCCTACGCCGTTTTCTTCGACGACTATGGTGGTGACTAAAAAAATGAAGTTCAAAAACTAAACATGAAAAGCATACAAAACATACTTATTATTCCAACAGTTGCACGAATCAACGCACTAGGATCTGCTATGCTTGCTAAGGTGTTCGTTTTTACAAATTCTCGAACATCATCTGGATACTTAGTCCATTGTGACCGCACATTATTCTTCAATATTAAACCAGCAAGTGATCGGCTAGCCTCCTAGAATGGGTGAATTCAAAATAATTAAATGCAAAAGGCGCTCTCCTACCTGTTCCTCTTTCATTCCGCTGAGTATATGTACAAGATAACAGCAGAATGACTGATGGCCATTGAGCATATCGAGTTGTTGTTGAACATTTCGTTGCACGACCGTGTCTGTGGATTGAGAGTGGTGAAGTAGGTGAAGAACCTGCAAATTGTAGAGAAATCAAAGTCTCCTAGTGCTGGTCTGAATATTTCAGCTTTCATGGCTACTCTTTCAAGTTCAAATTCTTGCGGGATAACGAAGCATATCTTGTCTCTCATACATAATTTATTTTGATAGATTTTGTGCATTGAAAGAAAGCGTCATTCAACATGGCTCAATGAGTTTTCTTGAAGTCATAGTAATTGTTAATCACTCCAAGTGTCTCAGATTATCGCCTGCTTGATATCAATACATCTTACCAACTTCGCTATTTAAGAATCTACAGCCTTCGAAAGAGAATTTTTTTCCTCGAAATTTGTGGGGATAAAACCCAGGTTTCTCCAAGCTATGTGGGCACCGGTCACACCAAAAAGTTGGTGTTTTCACAGCTCACTCAGGACCCTCTTTTAGATATGAAAGAGTAGATTTATGAAACTAAACTCTGTTTATTTGAAAGCATCTTGTAGTTCTGAGTCCATGTTTTTTAAGAATACTAAATCTGTGCTTACTGAGTAACTGCGCAAGACAATGGTTTACGCTTGTTAATAGCCATCACATGACTAACCTTCAATAGAATAACGCTGCTTAAAACAGAAAAACGCTTTATTTTTGATAATGATGGTTAAAAGAAGAGAGCAAAACGATCATAGGGCTTTTTGCATTGTTCACTTAGATTCTCTCATAGGTAAGTCTCCGATTTCTCAAGAACTATGTATGAGACTGCGTTCTACGTTTTTCCCGATTCAATCAGAAGCATAGTTCCACAGCAAAAACTGCACCGAGTTAAACATGCGGCAGAGACACTTTCCAATACATTTTCGCATCTCAAAATTATCCTCTCCACCTTGGTCGTCAATGAACTAGCGGCTGAGCTAGCGTATCCTACTGGAACCCCACCCCCTCCCCCAACAAGTGAAAAGTTTGAGACTGTAAACGGCACGAAAGCAATATGTGCAATAAACAGAAATTTCAGAGTTGCACACTTCCCCGAAACATGCGGACACAAAAACATACGCTCTCAGGCGAAATTCACGATCTCAAATCCCTGCTACACTACCTGTGTCAGTTCTTCCTGATTTGGTTGCCATGATGTCATGACTCACTATGCATATGTTGGGACGTTGATCGTCCTGAAACAAACAAAACGAAAAGCGATTGAGCCATTTCTCACACACACACAAAAGCCATAAAATGCCTGGCCATTCTACAGACACATCGAGACAAAAAACCACAGATACATTTGAGAGGCATGTCAAACTCATTCAACCACATTATACACATATGCAATTATATTTCTTTTATTATCGAATGAACCAACAACAAATCAACAAGCATTTTCAACGATAACAACAATCTATACTATGACTATTAACAAAAGAAAATGTATAAAAAGTAACTATCAACCGTAAACGAACATCTTAGATTCCAACAAAGAAAATTCTCAAATGTATAAAGTTCTGTTAAAACTACAAAATAGGGTGTAGTAAACCTTTAACTGACATTAGGAAATTTGAAATTTACATTTTTATAGATGACTAACTTCCTCTCGCAATGTAAAAAAGGTAAGAAAAAACAAAAGCTAATCTAACCAAACTATACAAATGTCTTTCACAATCATTACACTTCCATATTCTGCGCTTCAACGCCAGTTTTCACAGCTTGCGCTCGTCCCTGTACACTATAGATCTCTTTCATTCTCATATATTTTCTTCTATCCGCATCGGTAACGGACGGCCGGATGTTCTGAACGGCTTTCTGGAAGTGTTCCAT